GTAATAGTAGTCATAGTAGTAACAATAATATCGCTAATAACGATAATACGAATAAAACTATTAATAACAAACAAGGGGACTAATCATACTAAGAAGAGTAAGAATAATACGAATAACACTGATACCACTAGTCAGAATACCAAGAACTATAATGATCAACATAAGAAGAATAAGTCAACTACTTATAAGAAGAAGAACTAGCAATAAGAAGAAGGAGGAGGAGGAGCTGGAGGAGGAGGAGACCCTGCCGGCCCAGGACCAGGAGGGGAGGAGGGGGAGGAGGGGGAGGAGGAGGAGGAGGAGGAGGAGGAGGAGGAGGAGGAGGAGGAGGAGGGGAGGAGGAGGAGGAGGAGGAGGGAGGGGAGGAGGAGGAGGAGGAGGAGGAGAGGAGAGAGGAGGAGGAGCAGGAGGAGCAGGAGGAGGAGGAGGGAGGAGAGGAGGGAGGAGGAGGGGGAGAGGAGGAGGGGGAGGAGGAGGAGGAGGAGGAGGAGGAGGGAAAGAGGAGGAGGAGGAGGAGGTGGAGGAGAAGGAGAGCAACAAGAAGGATACTAAGGAGAGTAATGCTACGATTAAGAAGAAACAAAACAATACGTATAATAACAGTAATAAGAATATACAGGCGAATAACACTCAGACGAGTCATATTAATATTAGTAATAGTAGTAATAGTAGTAACATCAATAATGCGAATAACAATAACAATACTACTACTTGCTACTACTACTATTAATAATAATAGTACTACTAGTAGCACTAATAATAATAACACTACTACTACTACTACTACCACTACTACTACCACTACTACTACTACTACTACTACTACTACTGCTGCTACTACTACTACTACTATTACTACTACTACTACTACTACTACTACTACTACTACTAATAATAATACTGATAATAACAACAACAACAACAATATTGTTAATAATAACAATAATAATAGTAATAATAATAATACTAATAATAATAATAATAACAATAACAATAACAATACTAATAAAATTACTAATAGCAATAATACTAGTAATAATAGTAGTAACCATATTAATAATAAGCAAGGAGACTAATCATACTATGCTGAGTAAGAATAAGACGAATAACACTGGTACCACTACTAAGAATACCAAGAGTTATACTGATAAAGATATGAAGAATCAGTCAACTACTTATAAGAAGAATAACTAGCAATAGTAATAAGAAGGAGGAGGAGGAGGAGGAGCTGGAGGAGGAGGAGGAGGAGGAGGAGGAGGAGGAGGGGAAGGTGGAGGAGGACGAGGAGGAGGAGGGGGAGGAGGAGGAGGAGGCCGCCGTGGCCGCCCTGGAGGCCCTGCCACCCCAGGACCGCGACGTCCTCGCGGCCGAGCTGGCGCGCACGGGGCTGCAGGCCCAGTTCGCCCGCGCGCCGGCCGAGGTGCGGGAGCAGCCGCTGGGGCCCGCGCTCCTGGTACTCAGAGGAGGGAAAAGAACACACACACAGGCACAATTCATCGTCGACCCCCCAGAAAATATGGGAAAATATGGGAAGTCGTGGGGACGACAAAAACCCAGAACATATGGGAAAACATGGGGGATCTTTTTATTTGTGTGTATTTATTTGTGTGTGATGGTAATGACTAGGGGGTGGTGGATATCATGGCGGGGGCCATGATACTCCCCCAGATTTCATGGCGCCTCTTCTTATTTCATTGCGTCCCTGGCCCCCCCCGCTGGGCCGCGCACATGCCGCTGGTCATGATTTGCACCCCCCCCTCTTGGACACCCCTCTCTTGGCCGCTCCCGATCAGAGGAGGGAAAGGTGCCCATTCCCATACCCTTCCCTCGTTTTCCCCTTCTTGGGCCTCCTGGGAGGCGCTCGTCGCCACCGCTGGATTCGCCTCGAGATCCAGGTCAGAACGCACCCCAGGAGAGGTCCGGGGAGTAGCGGTATCGGTACCTTTTGGTCTCCCCAGGTGTACTACGGCCCCGCCCTGATCCAGACGGCGGGGCGGGAGCACCTGGGCGCGGCCCTGCGGGTGCTCGCTGCGGTGTTCCGGGCGGCCCGCGAGCTGTTCCCGCTGGACGGCGCCCCACAGGCGGCGCAGAGCACGGCGGTGATCCGCATAGATGCCCTGAAGGCGCTGACGCCCGCGGAGGTTCGGCCACGCGCAGAGGGGGGCAGGGGGAGGGAAGGCTTCTCAGAAGCACCTCTGCTTCTTAGACGGTGCGGGCCTTGTCTGCAGATGTAGGGCCGGCGCGTGCTCAGAAGCAGCCTCCTTCCAAGAAGCCTTCCCCCTCCCCCTGCTCCCTTTGTGCGCGCCGCCAAAAGGTGGCCGCCGGCGGGCCGTGGCTCCTGCAGCGCACCTCTCTGGGCGACGCCATCGTCTCCAAGCTCTCGGGGCTGGGCCATGCGGGCGACGTCAGTGCCGCTGGACTGGCAATGGCCACCATCCCGCTGCCGTGGGCAGGGTCAAACCTCCTGGAGAGCGAGAACCAGACGCTGAGTGGTTTGTAGGGCTAGTAAGCCCACAAGTCTGGTTTTTGTGTCCTAGCGGATCTCCTTGACTGCAGGCTTTCATGACGATGCTGCTGCACAGCCGTCACTGCCTCCAGCACAGGCTTCGTCCCTTCCCTGCGCAGGTGCGCCCCCTTCCTCTCGTGAAGGCCTTGCGGCCAGTGCCGCCGACCCAGAGGGATGACGACGACGACCACGACGACAACGACAACGTCGAGCTGATGACCCCGCCATAAGGTCGGGACATGGGGCAGGCGGCGGAGAGAAAAGGAGGAGGAGGAGCAGGAGGAGGAGGAGGATGAGGAGGAGGAGGGGAAGGAGGAGGAGCATGATGATGATGATGATGAGGAGGAGGAGGAGGAGCAGGAGGAAAGGGAGGAAGAGCAGGAGGACTCTGAGACTCTGCGCTTCCTTGAGGGGTGGAAGGTCCCCAGGTGGTTGGGCATTGCACGAGCAGCCACCGTTGTGGGCCTGACGGCCCGCAGCGAACGTCAGGGCGCTCCTGCTTTGGGCGCGATGCACCCGCGTGGGGCTCTGCTTCCACTGTCACGGAGAAGGTGCGGCGCACCAATTCTGTGACACATGCACGGACCGTGAGATCCTCAAGAGGAAAAGAAGCACACAGACACAATTCATCTTCGATCCCCCAGAACATATGGGAAACTATGGGAAGTGGGGGGGAACACAGAAACCCAGAAAATATGGGAACATATGGGGAATCCTGTTATTTGTGTGTATTTGTTTGTGTGTCCTCGGGCCCCTTCAGATCCGTGATCCGCCGTCGTCGGCGCTTGCCGTGTTCTTGCTTCAGTTCGGTGGCGGTTTATGCCGCTGTGTGCGCCTCGGCAATATCTAGATCCCGCGGGAAGGGAGGGGAAGGAGATGCCGCCGTGCCCCTGCGCATGGCAGGGGTAGCTCGTTGGCAACCTGCGCTGCCGTGCGCGTCCTGGCGCAATCTGGAAAGCGGGAGAACGGATGGGGCGGGGGCTGTTGCCGCGATCCTGGTCTTGGCAAAAACAGCTCGGCGGCGGCAAGCGGGACCGCGCGCGTCTCGGCGCAACCTAGAAGAGGCGAGAACAGGATAGGACAGGACAACCGTGGCGGCTTACGCCGCCGTGTTCGCCTCGGTGCAACCTTGAAGCACGAGCGGGAATGGGATGGGTGATGCTGCCGTGCTCCCGTGCTCCTGCTCATTGCAGGGGCAGCTCGATGTCGGCTTGCACCGCCGCGCGCGCCTCGGCGTCACCTAGAACGCGCGGGGCCCGAAACGTGTACGGTAGGTTTGCGTCGTGTCGACCAGCGGCGACCCCAGCGCGGGCGTTCAAGGTTGAACGCCGGCGGCGGCCCAGAATCGATCGATGTTGAACGATCGGACGTTGCGGCAGCGGCCGATCGTTCAAGGTTGAACGATCCCTGCGGTGTCAGAAACCAACGCTGGGGTCGGCACGACACGAACCTGCCGTAGGACAGCCGGTCCTGCCGCCGGGCTGACCTTGAGGCAACTGCCTCGCAACTGGGGTATGGAGGTCATCTCATAACCTAGAAAGGGGATGGTAGCAAAGGGGAAGAGGGATAGGAGGGGGCAGGATCAGGGACAGGGAACCGAACAATCGAGGGGGCAACGACGATGGGGGCAAGAAGGGCGGACGGGGAAGCTAAGCGAGACAGGGACACAAAAGCACAACAGATGGGGCAAGGAGCGAGAGGGAAGGGAAGCGAAATGCAGCCGGGTTCCTGCTCGCGGCAGGGGCAGCTCGCTGGCGGTCTATGCCGCCGCGCGCGCCGCGGCGCTACATGGAGAGCCCAACGATAGGAGCGAGGATCTAGAGGGAAGGGAGTCGGGATGCTGCCGGCCACCTGCTCGCGGCAAGGGCAGCTCGCGGCGGTATCCGTCGCCTTGCGCGCCTCGGCGCGACCTGGAAATCGAGGCAAATGGAGAGACGCGAGAAGGAAGAGATGTGAGATGCTGCCGGGTTCCTTCTCGTGGCATGGCAGCTCGTTGGCGGTCTATGCCGCCGCGCTCGCCTCGGCGCGATTATGATAGCGCGGCAGCGGGAAAAAGCAGCGAGAGGGGTGGGATTGCGAGGTGCTGCCAGGTTCCTGCTCTGGGCAGGGGCAGCTCGCTGGCGGTCTGCGCCGCCGCGCGCGCCTCGGCGCTACGTGGAGAGCGCAACAATGGGAACAAGAACGCGAGAAGGACGGGATTCGTGATGCTGCCAGGTTTCTGCTCGCGGCAGGGGCAGCTCCCTCGCGATCAGCGCCGCCGCGCGCGCCTCGGCGCGAATATGATGGCGCAGCAATGGGAGCGAGAGCGATGGGATTGCAAGGGCGAGAGCGATGGGATTGCGAGGTGCTGCCAGATTCCTGCTCTGGGCAGGGCCCAGCTCGCTGGCGCTTCGCGCCGCCGCGCGCGCCTCGGCGCTACGTGGAGAGCGCAACAGCGGGAGCAAGCCGCGACAGGGGATGGATTGCGAGGTGCTGGTGGATTCCTGCTCGCGGCAGGGGCAGCTCGGTGGCGGTGCACGCCGCCGCGCGCGCCTCGGCGCGACTATGGTGGCGCAGCAATGGGAGCAAGCAGCGAGAGGGATGGGATCGCGATGTGCGGCTGCTGGGTTCCTGCTCTGGGCAGGGACAGCTCGCGCGCGTCTCGGCGCGACTATGATAGCGCAGAAGTGGGAGAAAACAGCGAGAGGGATGGGATTGCAAGGAGCTGCCGGGTTACTGCTCGCAGCAGGGGCATTTCGTCGGTGGCGTAGCAATGGGAGCAAGCGGCTAGAGGGGTGGGATTGCGAGGTGCTGCTGGGTTCCTGCTCTGGGCAGGGGCAGCTCGTTGGCGGTCTGCGTCGCCGCGCGCGTCTCGGCGCCGCGTGGAGAGTGCCACAGCGGGAGAAAGACGCGAGAAGGACGGGATGTTAGATGCTGCTGGGTACCTGCTCGCGGCAGGGGAAGCTCATTTGCGGCCGGCGTCGCCGCGCGCGCCGCGGCGCGACTATGATGGCGCAACAACGGGGGAAAGCTGCGAGAGGGGTGGGATTGCGAGGTGCTGCCGGTTTCCTGCTCTGGGCAGGGGCAGCTCGTCGGCGGTCTACGCTGCCGCGCGCGCCTCGGCGCCGCGTAGAGAGCGCCTCCTGCTCGCGGCAGGGCAGCTCATTTGCGGTCGGCGCCGCCGCGCGCGCGCCTCGGCGCGACTGCGATGGCGCAGCAATGGGAGCAAGCAGCGAGAGCGATGGGATTGCGAGGTGCTGCTGGGTTCCAACTCTGAACAGGGGCACCTCGTCGGCGGCCCGCGCTGCCGCGCGCGCCTCGGCGCTACGTGAAAGCGCGACAGTGGGAGAAAGTCGCGAGAGGGACGGGATGTGAGATGCTGCCAGGTTCCTGCTCGCGGCAGGGGAAGCTCATTTGCGGCCATCGCCGCCGCGCGCGCCTCGGCGCGATTATGGTAGCGCAGCAATGGGAGAGCAGCGAGAGGGGTGGGATTGCGAGGTGCTGCTGGGTTCCTGCTCCGGGCAGGGGCAGCTCGTTGGCGGTCTGCGCCGCCGCGCGCGCCTCGGCGCGACTATGATAGCGCGGCAATGGGGGAAATCGGCGACAGGGATGGGATTGCGAGGTGCTGCCGGGTTCCTGCTCCGGGCAGGGGCAGCTCGTTGGCGGCCTGCGCTGCCGCGCGCGCCTCGGCCGTACCTGGCGACCGCGACAGTGGGAGAAAGACGCGTGAAGGACGGGGTGTGAGATGCTGCCAGGTTCCTGCTCGTGGCAGGGGCAGCTCATGCGCGGCGAGAGCCGCCGCGCGCGCCTCGGCGCTACATGGAGAGCGCAACAATGGGAGAAACGCGAGAAGGACGGGATGTGGGATGCTGCCAGGTTCCTGCTCGTGGCAGGGGCAGCTCATGCGCGGCGAGAGCCGCCGCGCGCGCCTCGGCGCGACTATGCTGGCGCAGCAATGGGAGAAAGCAGCGAGAGGGGTGGGATTGCGAGGCGCTGCCGGATTACTGCTCTGAGCAGGGGCAGCTCGTTGGCGGCCCGCGCTGCCGCGCGCGCCTCGGCGCTGTATAGAGAGCGCAACAAAGGGAGAAAGACGCGAGAGGGACGGGATGTGAGATGCTACCGGGCCCCTGCTCGCGGCAGGGGCAGCTCAGTTGAGGCGCGCGCGCGCGCGCCCCTGTCGCGACTATGATAGCGCAGCAACGGGAGCAAGCGGCTAGAGGGGTGGGATTGCGAGGTGCTGCTGGGTTCCTGCTCTGGGCAGGGGCAGCCCGTCGGCGGTCTGCGCCGCCGCGCGCGCCTCGGCGCGACATGAACGACCTGAAGGGGGAGATCTCGAGGTAGAGGCGTGACGTCACCGAGACAAAGACCGCGAGGTGTGCAGGACCTCCAGCCTTGCCGCCTGCTAGTGTCAGCGATGGATGTAAGAACCTCGTGGGCCGGTGTCGCCCCGGCAACCTAGCCCCTGGGGCGTCGTGCAGGTTCTCCTCGGGCCCGCGTTCAGCGCACCCCTTACCGACGCCCCATGCGACCTGCACAACATCCGCCCCAGGGGTTGCGGAAGCCTTCGGCATAGGGGGAAGAGGAGGAGAAGGGGGATGATGATGATGATGATGATGATGATGATGATGATGATGATGATGATGATGATGATGATGATGATGATGATGATGATGATGATGATGATGATGAGATGATGATGATGATGATGATGATGATGATGATGATGATGATGATGATGATGATGATGATGATGATGATGATGATGATGATGATGATGATGATGATGATGATGATGATGATGATGATGATGATGATGATATGATGAAGGATGAGGATGAGATTAGGATGAGATTAGGATTAGGATGAGGAGGAGGAGGGAGGAGGAGGGAGGAGGAGGAGGAGAGGAGGAGGCGGAAGATGAGAAGGACGAGGACTAGGAGGAGACGAGGACGAGGAGGAGAGGAGGAGAGGAGGAGGAGGGGAAAAAGGAGGAGGATGTATGAGACGAGGACGAT